AGGTTTTAATAGTTTATTTCTTTTATTTACTTTTACCTCGTAATATACCGATATTGACGTTGAAACCCAGGAGGGAGCCATTATGTAAACACTGTTGAATTAGGTTTTAATAGTTTATTTCTTTTACTTACTTTTACCTTGTATATACCAATTTGTATGTTTTTTTAAAAAATTATTATTATTATTATTATTGTTATTATTATTATTATTATTATTATTGTTATTATTATTATTATTTTATTATTATTTTTTTCTCATCGTTTGGAGTGATTTTGAGGCCTTTATAATTAGCAGTCGAGCGGGAAATCAAACTTTGAGTGTGTACGTCGTTTAGTGTGAACGAACGCATTTTTTCTTTGGCACGGTTTTCACAAACCCACTCATATTCGTAGAGGTGCTTAAATTTGTTGTAAAGCTGGGCTTAAAGGAGAGTTTATAAAGCATCTAACTATACAAAGAAAACTCTAATCTGTTTTTGGCGGGAACAGAAGGCATTCTTATTTTCAGTTTAAAATCGATCAGATGTGTTTTGGGTCGGATTTACTGCCTTAAGACAACCCTGTAGTAAGTAATCTGAGTGGCACTTTCATGTATATGGTTCCATTTGTTCTCGATAAATAACTTTTGGCGAGTGAAATTTTCTGAAGAAATTGTTTCGTATGACTTTCAGTTTGGGGGACTCTTGGCAATCAAAAGGGTTAATAAAACAGCTTTGCAATGAAATTTGTATTATTTGTTACAGATAGTGCCGTAATTCTAGACACTACGATAAAAGATCATTTGGCTGTAACTGAAAGATAATGTCCCACAAGTGAACGAGATAACCTTTTCTTTATGGGTGACCTGTATTCAGTTGCACAAACTCCAATGTTACGAGCCGTTTCGGTGTTGAAAGGAGAACGAAAATCACCCTGAAACTAAGGTCGGAGGAATTTGCAAACGGAGGTTGCACTCTGAAAACGCATCAAATGTTTTCCGTCCACACTATGCCGGAGGAATTTAAAAACGCAACAATCAACGGTCATTTGGATTTGCGCTTCACAAAACTCGCTCAGGGAAATCACATGATCATCGTGACAACATCGTTTTCGAAAAGTTCCGTTTTCAAAATATTTTCCGTCCACACGAAAACGCAAAGCCGGCGTTTCCAAATTCCTCCGGTTTGAAGAGCGTTTTCGAGAAAAGCTCTATTTTGGTGACGGTTAGTGCGCACAGTAAGCCCAACCGTAGAAATAAAGCTGCGTTTTCAAATCCCTCCGCATCGCCCAGTGTGGACACGGAGCCTAAAGCTAGTAAAATATTTTGGCCAGCGATGGAGAAAAGTGACCCTCGCTGAAGTCAAAACAGCTTGTTTCATTATTTATCTTCGGGTATGAACATACTATATCTTCCACTTAAGACGGTTGATGTGGAATAGCAAAAAGGCAGTGACCCGAATCAAAATTTCTCTCGAGGAAAAAGCGTTCTGTTTCTCAATTCTGCCTTCAAACCAAGTAAAGCATAGAGGATACCAGCTATCAGTGAAAAAAAAAAGAAACATTTCACTGTGCAGTACGAAATAATCTAGCAGAAATGAGTTTGTTTAAGAGATTTCATTTCAATTAATAAAAAAGATAAGATATAAGCTTAATAGCTAATTACTGCCAAATCTGACAATCGTTTAATTTATAATCGCATTCTAATTTGCACAATGAATTTCCCGCGGCTATGCTTTCAAAACAGCGATGGCTTTCATTGTGAACAGCTACTGCGTAAATTCGTTACCTGTCAGACAAATAAAAAGGCTAGTAATGAAACATGATATGGCAGATGACAACTCCTTTGCGACTAATTGTTTTCAAGGGGTATTGATTTCGGCAAGTTTTTGTTGCTGCACACCAAAATATGCAAAGTGTTTTGTGATCAAAAGCGTGAAAGGAAGAAAGCTATCAACACTTCATTTGCTTTTTAAAACGTAGAATGATCAAATTCCTTTGATGTGCTCGTATTTTTTTGTCACAATTCCAATAACTACATGTTTGGCGGTGTTCAGTTAATTTTAAGCGATTTCCCTAAATGGATGTCCAGATCATTTTACTCGCAGCTGTTACGTTTCTGAAAGGCTTTCTCGCTACAATTACGCTCGTTCAATATACTCATGACAAAACAACTCGAACGAGATTATTCCACGTACGAAAATTGCGTGACATTACTGTTTATTGAAGAAAGGGGATAGAAGTTGTTATATCGTCTGCTACAGGAAACCAGCTGGACGAAACTTGGCATAAATCGGCTTTAAAACTTAACCTCGAATGTTTTTGCAGTCGAGATGAAAATCAGACTCGTAACATCTGTGATAAAGTCTAGCTGTACTCAGCCAAGTTCTCCTTCGTTGTGCGTCTGAATTGCACTGAAGAAATTCAAAATTTCTCTCAACCTCGAACGAATAACCTTTTGACTAAACAAATGAACAAACCCACGTTGGTATTGCTACGTCCCTGAGCTCAAATCAGTGACCGCCAATAACGTATACCACAGGAATATAAGCCTTTAATTATAAATAAATCCGGCTCGATTAAAAATATTCGCTGATCAGTAATTAAAATTTAGCAACAAATAGAAAATTATTCCTCACCCACGTCCTTTTCGATCTTGTCTATATCCTCGTCGTCGGGATTAAGGTTCAACGAGCGAAGCAAGCAGCCAATCTGGTCAGATTCAATCTTACCGTCTCCCTGGTCGTCAAACAGCGAGAACGCTTCTCTGTACTCTGCGTGAAAACATTCGCGGAAAATTCAAATGTCACTGACAATATCACCCGCAATTTTAACGTTAATACACTACTCACCGTCCATTTCTTCTTGAGTGGGTTGAGACATTTTGACGGTCAGGGATTCGTGAAGCAAGTAAGTGTGGGTGAAGACGAACGTTTGATTGAAATGCTCAATTTATAGACAAGGGAAGTCCTGGAATTACATGCGGGTATTTAAGAGGGTGGGGTCATTGTGGCACGCTTACGAAATTGTAGCGTGGGTCGGGTAACACAGGGTAAGTTAAGCGGGGAGGGGGGCGGGGATTGATCTTGATAAAAATGTACTTCACTGCTCTCCCTTCATGTTTACCGCCAGAAATGGTCCACATCAGAAAAACTACATTAAACAGGTTTTTCTTCAGAATTTTTCTTCAGTATTTGCTTATGGTGGGTATTTCAATTTGAAAAGAAAATTTTAGGTTTTTTATGTTTACTTTACTGCTTGCAGGCAGACATTTTCACCAGTAATTTCCTCTGTCTCGCACGGAGAAGCGAGAAACATAAAAGAAAATAGCTTACATCTACACGCAGAGGATATGTTTTCTTGTGCTCAATAGCTGGCTTTTTAACAATGGCCACAAGGCAAAACACAGTTTGTCGTTTTAGATCACACTGAGAGTAAAACAAAAACTCCGCCTCTTTCAGAGCGAGAGAGGCTGAGAAAAAATGAAGACTCGGCTATAAATAGCGAGAATATTAAGCAGTTTCAGTAATTTTTGAAAAAGATTCCTTTCTTCGATGTGTACCTCAAGAAGCCCATGAATATCTCAAGGCGTGGTTAACATCAACAAAGTAGAATTTTATTAACTCATTTTCGCAGACCAATTTGAGCTCGAGGCACTAGCCATTGTCAAAGATACGCCTCGTTAACGCTGGGCCAGTTATCACTGAAGGGCGGGGCCTAATAAGAGGCATTCCTCTATTGAGAGTAGTTTGTAATTTATTGGTAATCCGGCAAGATGATAATGAAAAGTAATCTTGAGTCGTGCAGATACCAAATATATAGCCAGCACTTCGCGACCACAGAACCGAGAAAGAAAAACAGTTTAAAACAACCACCAAATTAAAAAAAAAAAAAACAGATAGTCGTTATTATAGTGATAGGAGAAGTATTATTCAACAAGACTTGTTGTTAAGAGATAACAGAAGTCTTGAATTTTATTTATAGGGTTGCAAAGAAAACTTGATTTTATCATCAGGAATGAAAAACAGTCGCATTCCAGTGGAGTTAAAAAGATAAACAATAAATAAATAAATAAATTTCGGAGAGGAAAACCGCCAGTAGCGCACGTTACAGTTTTTATACGGTTCTTCTATCCAGGTCGAATTGGAATTTGGAGAGGCTGTATTTAGAACCTACAGTAACAACGAAACAACCCATGGCGCCAGGACGAAAGAAAATCCGGGCCACATTGGTGGGAGGAATGCTCTGACACCGCTGCGCCATCTAGTGCTCCCCTAGAGTAGAGTGCTAGATAGCGCACTGCTTTCTAAAAATCTCCTAGATAAGGGAGAGCCCCTCTGTACTGACCCCGTAGACCACAGATGTTTGGAAGCATATAAGTAGTTCAAATACCCAGTTATCAGCATATGGTATGATCATGAAGTCCATGAACGTTCTTTAGTTGGCGGAGTTTACAAGATCTGCCTTTAATTTTGCACTTTGGAAAGACTGGATTTTTTTTTTTCGGGAGTGGGGTGGGAGAGGCTTGAGAGGTGCGCACACAGTTTAGCGACGTCATTTATCTAAATACTGAAGTATTTTAGATAACTGTCCAGCGGATTTTTCAAGGAAAGGTGAAAAGCGCAAAAATCCCTGCCAAAGTGTTTTACTTTGGAACTGGTATATACCCTTCACAGAGGGGAGAAGTGAAATTCAGCGTTTAAAACCACGCGCTCAAATGTAGAGTCTGCAACTATATCAAGTGTCTCCAATAAGTAGAGGGTTTTTTTCCCCATCGGCTTGATGTTAAGACACATTAATAAAGTTTATGTATGTATGTCAGATTTTTGTATCACTTTATTAATAGATCGTTACACTGCATAGGAAGTTGCATTTAAGGAAAGATAGGAGGGGATAAACTTACTGCAGTACTGAATTTCTATTTTCAATCAACACTGTACCTCACTTGAACAATTTTTTAATCTCGAAAGTTACGACCCTCGTTACTTTTAAATTTAGCAGCCTTTCTTATCGCCTCTTTTGGGAGTCGTTTTAAAGGGGTTAGCTATTATTGGTTTGCGGACAAAGCTAAAGTTTATGAGTGCAAGTGCAAACTCCCTGATGACTGTAGGCAGACAGAAGTCTGACAATGGCCAATAGGCCATATTGGTATTCTAACCCTGCAGTCTAAGATGATGAATACAACCACAAAGTTTGGATTCCCTGTAGAAACACCTCATAGAGGGAATTGGGCATCATTTAGGTGCTATTCGGGAAAGGAGCCTGCGCTTGAGGGGCAAAAATCGAGTATAGCCATTATTTCCAGCTCCTAATATCGTAATAATAATGTATGGATCCTGCATGCACTTTGTTTTATCAGAAGATAAAAACATAGTATATTTTAACCATATTTAATGTTTTGCACGCTGTATCAAAGTATTAAAGTGGTCAAGTGCCAAAAGTATAAATATACTATCAACTCATGTACAAATCCAGTTATTCAAAAAATTCCCCAGTATTCTCAAATTTTATGAGAGTATAATGCAAGGGCTTGGCTCTTCAATACTTCTTAACTAATGCAACACAACACTAAAATACCTATAATATATTTTATTATGAGATGGAGTCAATGAGTTTTCAATAAGCTGTCCAATTTTATTTTTTCTTCTGCAAAAGTATCTACTGACCTTCCAAAATTACAAAACTGCCAAATGTATAGAAAAATTATGAACAATACTTTGTAAATCCCAGTTATATTATTAAGGCTCTTGTTTGATAATCATTTTGATGACGATAACTTATCTGTAGTAAGTGTTACAATCAGTTTTATTCATACAGCATCATTGAACCACAGGTAAATTAATCTGGAAAAGTGAAAGTTACCCAGTCATAACCATCTTGACAAATTCTGTCAAAAAATAATAATAATACTAGTAATCAACAACAACAAAACTAAAAAATTAAAAAGTAGGCAGATTTACATGTAGTTATAAACATCAATAATTAGGTAAAATTTTATATCTTCAGCTTCTCTCAATCTTTTAACAGATCTAGACATGAACATTCAAAAAGCAAGGCGAGGGCAGAAATCTAAGTTATCCATGTAGTTCCTAGAATTTAAGACTGTAAACCTGCAGAATTAGTGGTTTGTGGAACATCTAGGGTGCATGCAGAATTTTAGAAAAGGGGGTGAACTCAAGATACAGACTGCCAAAGGCAGTCCCACTAAGGGGGGTCTAAGGGCATCCTCCCCTGTAAAATTTTTAAAACTGAGGTCCTTGGAAATGGGATTTCCGGCATGCTGAGGCCAAGTCAGGGTGTTCTAATGTCTCATTTTTGTTTCAATTTAGAGGCCAGGGATTGACTGACCCCCATGGACCCCCCTAGATCTGCCCCGGAGCATGATCCCAAAAGAAATGAGAATTGGAGACACAAGAGAGAAAATGGTGAATGGAGTGAAATTCATTCCCATCCTCCTTGGTCTTCCTACTTTTTCTTTTGGGTTTGTTGCTCATTGTTAGGACCTCATTACCCTTTACTTTCCCATCATGTAAGACAACTATCGGCTATGCAGGATACCACTAAAAAAGGGTGATGTACCCTTACCAGGTATGTGCATAGTTAATAGAGGGAAATGTCGAGGAAAAGGTTGTTGTTATTCATCGTGGTAGATGCAATAATAAAGTGTATTATTGTTTGTCTCACGATGTAGTCACTTGAGATGTAGATCG